GTAAACATGACAAATATGAGTATACCTTGTAAAGAAAGAACATAACACAAGGAAGTAGGGAATAATTTGGTATAAAAGGCTGATAAGGACTCTTAGCTAGCTTGGAAACATTATGGTTACCAGATGTGCTCTCCCAGATGTCAGGATTTCCTATTATATGTTACTTCCGGTCAGGAGAGGGGATGGGAGAAGCAGTTCCCATGATAATGTTTTAGAGTCTTTGAGACACGAGGGTAACCCAACCCTGAAAGTTAATCTTGCAACTTTTGTTGCAGAATATGCTTATTATTAAAGACTCCAATTCTTCACATCCTCTTGTGCATGAAGGGTAAGTCAAAAGCAGAGGAAACTGATGCTGAAAACTGGAAGGAGACAAAATTCATTTCTGGGCAGAAGACCAAAGTCTACGCAGTGATTAACTCCGAGCATAGCCCTTGGCCCTTTAGAAATGCACTTTACACAGCCTTGCAGTTGTCCTTCGAAGGTGCTTCCCAGTCAGTGGCTTCCTACAGTCACTGTGCATATTGCATTCAAGTGCCTCATTGTAACGTGGTGTAACCTGAGCTGACTTCAGACCCTGCTGCTAGTTTGATTCCTTCTTTGACTGTACCCAGATGTTTGTTAGTCAATTATCATCTGCTGTGAGAGGGAATTTACTAAAGTAATGTCATGCATCAACTGAAAGTAAACCAAGTCTTTATCATTACTTTATAGCTTCTTCAGACTCTTTCTAGACATAACAGTGCTTCCTAAAGCTCGATTTCTGTTCAAGTTACCTCAAGCCATGCAAAAATCAGTGCTTCTCTCTGTCAGTGCAAATAGCTGCAGTTATTCATCTTGCCCAACCCTCTTTGACCTTTGTCCTTTCTAAATCCCTGGAGACATCCCCCTTTCAGGTACTGCCACTCATTCTTGTACAAAGGCCTCAAGCCTACAGATCTCTTGGGGCTGCAACTCCTTCCTGGCAGGGAAAGTCTATGAGGTCCCTTCTGGATTCAGGGTTGGACTTTGTCTGAGTTTTGCTTTTCCGAATCCTTTGAAGGATCAGGATCCTTCTGGGCTGAGTTCAATCATTGTTCTAATGGCAACTCAGTTACCTGGGATCTGGTAGTAATGCACATGGAGTGTCTTGATCCAAATCCTTAGAGCAGCCTGTATTTCAAATGTTGTGGGCAAATTCAGTGTTTTCTTGCAGCTCGTTTTTGCTAGCTAGAAACGTGTGTATTTGTGCCACAGCCCTTTTCCCTCTGGGGAAGGCCACCAGCATAGTTTTCACAGAGCAGTTTCTCTAACTTTGATCTATTTTTGCAACACTTTCTCTCATTTTGCAGAAAGTGGGAATTCTAAGCCAAGTCAGGGCTGACAAAAGTAAGAAGTGAAAAGAGAGGAGGAAGAAGTCAGAAGAAAACAAATTCCATTCCCTTACACTGTTGTACAGAACTGATTAATACTGGCCTGTGACTGCCAATAGCAGAAATGCAAGTTTCCTCTCTGTACTAGTTGTAGTGAGAAGGCAGGGTTTAAGCTTTCTCCCAAGAGCTTTCTGAGAAGGTCACCTGCAGCAAATAGGCAATGTTAATGGGCAAATTAAAAGGCTATAGGAAGTCCTTGGAAAAAGCAAAAACTGCATAGAGGTTTCCTGTATCTTCGCTCAGAGTTTTATCCACAA